TGTTAAAAGCACACTGTAAGTGTCCTGCTGGTATTGATGGGTAGTAAAAGAAACCATTGGCGGATCCAGGGGGAGGGTCCGGGGAGTCCGGACACCCCTATCAGACCTGACGCTTACAACTTTGAGACTGAAATTCTTACATCCGCAGGATCGTATATCACTTTTTAACTGGCTGATTTTTTTAATTAATGAATCCAAGTAAACGGTAAGCGGCTAAGGAATTATAACGTGCAACCACGACTGGTGGGAGGGGGTGTGGGGGGTGTGGGGGAGAAGTAATTTGCCTCAAAAGAGTCCAACAGTCCTTTCTGAACCAAAGTTTGGACCCCCCCCCCATTCAAAAATTCCTGGATCCGCCCCTGGGAACTTCTTCCTCTTAATAAAAAGTTGACTCATTTACTTCACTTAATGTGTAATTAGAAGAAAAACGTTTAAGAGCATCTCATCTGGTGAAAAAAAAACTAGGAGCTGCTAATCATTAGCTATTGAGTGGATTATAAAATATTATGGATTGACCGACATGCTTAAAAACTATACAAACGCGAGAATCATTTCGTTTGCCTTTACACTTTTGAGGCCAAAACTTTGTCGAAGCAGAAGGCAGCATATGAAAAGGAAAACAGTGGCGGCTTTCGAATTATCGATCAGCCCGAATGTGTTTTCAGGTGGTTCTATTCTAGATAATACGTCATCGGAAAGTTTGAGAAATTAAAAATCACGCACGTTTTTCCTTGTTGTCTCCTTTCGCTTGAGTTGAATGATTCTTTCCAATTTGTAGACAAATAAGTGGGTCAATAATGTGAAAGTGTCAGAACATTAGTCTCGTATGAAAAGTGCTTAAATTTCAGGAATATCTTTGAGATTACGCGGCGATTTGAAAAATCACTTCAAAACCTCGCAGCATATTTGTAACAGCGTCGATTCTTCCTGGTTTTCAGGGATGACGGGGGGGAGGGGGCGGGTGGATCATTCGTCACCAACAGACTAACTAATCAGGAAGGAGGAGGTCATGAGAATATTACATAGCCAAAATCCTCTAACCTCTCCCCCCCCCCTCCCAGATGATTTTTGGGAATAAATTACAGGGCTTTATTTTCTAACGTGCATCGAATGGTATTGGGTGACAAATTCGTCTCAGAAGCATGATTCGGTGTATAGTAAAGATATAGCGAGAAAGGAATCGATTGCTTTGGTTCAGATACAAAATTAAATGCAAACATTTACATCTACGTATGGTCAACTCTCACTGCACTTTTTTTTCTTTTAAAGTGCCTTTGAGTATTTACCGTCTCGGTTACATTTATTCATATATTTACTACCTTTCAAAAGGTTTTGATATCCTTTTGAGTTATTAGCCTTACCAGAGGTATGCACAAAATAACTGCCAAAAATGAACAGGAAACTCTTCAAAAAAGGCTCCTGATGATATTTTAGTTTATGAAAATAAAAAATAAAAAAAATAGAATAATTACGCTGGATGTGGTGAAGGCAGACATCACCTTGAAGAGAAATTCACGAAAAGATATGACATTGTTCAGAAGACCAACACAGGGAATGCAATGAGCACTGCAACCTGATTGGTTAGAAGACGTGTTCTTCAAAATTGGACCAATCAGATAAAATCCAATTTGGAAGACAATGC